TTTTAGTTATATTATTAGTTATATTTATTAGTATTTAGTTATTTCCTTTTTTTTTTTTTATTATTATTTTTAAGGTAGCTTACATGGCTGAGCGAATTTTATTAGTTTGATATATGAGGTTCTATATGGAGTTCCTTTACAGTTTGTAATTATATAAAGAGTATACAACAAGCCACATGTACAACTTTAGTTATTATCTAATTTAAGTAGTCTGCTATGTAGGCGTTAAACCATCTGTTAGTACTATACTATGCTGCTATACCTGTAACCTGCCTGTAAGTTACCTATTTAAATACTCTGTTCAACTAACCCATACTGTTACAAACTAACATTACTGTAACATCTAACCATTTAAGCCAGCTAGTTCGTTGCAGATCTATTTATTGACTTTAGCTTAGATCCTCTCGGAATACTTGTACTTAACATATTATGAGTTTTGCAAAGCTTCAGTTAACCTCAAAGCAAACCTACTAGAGCAGCCTGTGCTCATTTTACAGACTTACCTAGCTTAGATCTTTGTAGATGTTCGTATTACTCCAGTTCCTACTATAGATCTCCACTGGTTTTGTATTAATTGATTTCTCTAGATATTTCATGAGGTAGATCCTCCCAAATTCAGTTAGCTGCTAAGCCAAGTTGGTGCTACCAATCTTTACTACGAATACAGACTTACTTGCATCTATTTCGATCTATATCCTTTAAAATAGTTTCTTTTCAGATAAAGCATTAACTAGTATAACTATTGAAAGCTGTATTACTTCACCAACTCAAGGTTTCTACTATGCAGGTTCTCTGCTCATACATCCAATGCAGATTTATTCATGTAATGTTATATCACACTTCTAATGTCAACAACTGACTTAGTGCAATGCTATTTTTTACAAGGTTTTGTCATATCCCTCAGGACTCCCTTTTTGGGAACAAGCAGAGTTTTCTGTAAGTTTGGTATACAGGTCTAGATATTATTCAAATTTGTTGACAGTAGGATTTGAACCCCAAACCTATTGCATGACAGTTTGACAACCTGACTACTATACTAGGTCACCAGACCCTATTTAGTTATTTCTTATATTGTATTATTTTAGTATAGATATTTTAAAGTAAAGAAAATCATTATAAATATTCACCTCTAAGTAAAGTACCTTAAGAAGTATTTATATTAAAAAATACCTTTAAATAATTTTGTAGCCAAGAATATCAGCTACACGATAATATAAGTTATATTCAAATTTATTATATAATATTTAAAGAAAATATAGGCTATAGCAAGAAATTACTATGTCAAAACTATGCTGAACTATACTAAACACTATGCCAAACTATGCTGAATACTTTGCTGAGAACTGCACTAAAACTATGCTAAATACAGTACCAATACTGTGCTAGATTATACTGAAAGACTGTACTGGACTATGCTGAACTATGCTAAGTACTATGCCTCTTACTGTGCTAAACTATTAATAGTAACACTTAATTGTCACTTGTATGAATACTTAAGTGATGCTTGCACAAGTCACTTATATGATACTTCACTGACATTTACAGATATTTGCTAAAAGTTATAAATACAAGTAGAATTTCTTTTCTTGCTCTTGAGTTGTTTAGATCTTAACTCCCTCTCCTCTCTTGTATTTAATTCTAAATATTTATAATTAATAAATATTTTGTTATTTAAATAAACCTAAATAAACTACCTCTTGTAAAGTAAAACTTGTCTTTACAATTAGTTAAAGAAACTTCTCTTTTAGACACTGCTTCTTAAAGTAATTAAATAGTTATGTTGCTATTACTTATAGTATACTAAGAAGACGCTATCTGTAACAGTATTAGTTATATTTAAAAATAAAAGAAACTTAGAGTAAGTAAGAAGATTTAGTATAAGATATTATGATATAAGATTTTTTGAGAGAGAGTAGAAAGTAATGCAAATAAACAGATATATGATAGAGCAAAGCAAAAATATTTTAATTTAAAACAAAACTAGAAAAACAAAAGGTATAAGCAGATAGATATGAATAAAAATAAAGTAGTATTTAATAGTCTTGAGAAGAAAGAGAATATAAGAAAAAAGAAAGATTATGCAAGAATAAAAGAAAAGAAAATAATAAAAAAAGAAAAACTAAAAATAGTAAAGGATATAAAAGCAACAAAAGGTTTAAAAAATTCTAATATATTATTAGTATACATAGTCTAACTTATTCATTGATTAGGAGAAAGAATAAATATATAAGAGTAAAATACTTCTAATTACTTCTAAAAGTTATCAAAATTTAACTACAAAAAGTTTATATAGCTCATAAAGAAAAACTTGAGTATATAAAAAGAATATATAATACTCTAAACCAAAATAATAGTAAAAAGACAAAGAAGCAAAAAGTAGAAATAAGAAGAAGTAAAGATACAAAGACAAAATATATGTAAAAAGAAAAAATTAAAGTTGAAATACATAATATTAATAGGTTAAAAGAAGATATATTAAAATTAAGTTGTCTAGCAAAATACTATAAAAAAGAATATTTTAATTTAGTAGAAATTATAAAAACAAATATAAGTAAAAAAGAAAACAAATAGTTTAATATAGAGAATAAGACATATAGAAGTTTTTGAACTAATACAGAAAGAGACAAAAATAAGAGATTAGAAATTGGTCTTTTAGTAGATTAGAACTAGCTATATTATATAGGAGTATATAAAAAGTACAACCTATATCTACTCAAAGCTGAATTCTACTTCAGAAAAGTTATACTACAGGTTTGAATATTGTATATACTATTCAAAAATAAAGAAAAGTATATAAGATAATTTTAGAAAAGCTAATTAAAAATATGAAGAATATATATAGCATAATTATAGAAAATTTCAATATAATACTTAATAATAAATTAGATACTAGAAGTAAAGAAAAGTAAATAAAAGATGCAAATTCTAAAATTTTAAAATAGTTCAAGAATACAGATTATATAAAATCCTTTTTACTTTTGCAACTCTAGATCTATTAAATTTTCTTAAGCAAATAGTAAAGTTGTAATATGAATTAATTATATATAGTACTATTAAAGTCTAAAGCTATTTATTACAAAAAATAATATAGATAGTGTAAAAATAATAACAGACAGTAACTATAGTATAGTGTAGCTACAAATTGATAATATTTATCTATTCAAGAAAAAAAAGCTAAGAACTAGAAAGAATTAAAGCAAAATAAGAAAAATTTACTTATATCACAAAGCTATAAAAGAAGATTAGAAAGTATATAGTCAAAAGTAAATGAATATTTGTAAGTATAAAGAAAAACAAATAAAATAATATAGTAAAACACAAAATATAGAAAAAAAAAGTATTAATAAGAGCTAGAAAATATTAGCAAAAATGATTATAATAGCTGCAAATGAATATATCTTGTTAACAATAATACAAAACATAAAGAGCTAGATAAGAAAAAAAGATTTTAAATTAGTAATATATAGCAGATCAAAAGTACTTAGAAAATTATATAGAAAAAGTATGAAAACTTAGAAAAAAGTATAGATGAGATTGAAAAACTTCTATATAATACACAAATTAAATAGCTAAATAGTGAGTACAATATACAAATCTTAGAGTTAGCAGATAAATAAGAAGAAGAATAGTCAAAGAAATTAAAGAATACTAGAATATACTAAGAAAAAAAGTAAAAAAAGAAGTAAATACAAAAAAGAAAAAGAAATTAGAAGATATATTAAAAAAAGATTTGCAATAGATATAACAAAGCTAAAAAAGATATTTAATAGTTTGTTAGAGAAGCATTATAGCAAAATTATATTAGATAAAGTACTAATCAATAGTAGAAATAAGTTTGAGAATAAAATATTAATTACAGAAAATAAAGAAATAAAAGAAAAAGTTGTATAGTATTTTTAGAAGCAATTTTAATAAAAAAATCACAGGTTTGATAAAATAGATAAGAACTAGAAGAAAGTATATAAAGAACAAAGCAATTAAAGAAGAATGATATAAAGAAGTTATTGTATCACCTAGCAGAATGCAAGGTCTACCAAAAGATATGGAAGAACCTAGAAGAGGAAACTCTATACCTAATAAGTCTCGAGATGTTAACAAAGTTGGATTTATCACTTGAGAACAATGCATTAAGGAAGGCACTATACGGTGAAGACCCAGAAGAGAAGATGCATCGTAGAAAGATGCACCTCAGAGGCCTCACAAATAAGAAGCAATACGCAGATATATGCAAAATAGCACAGTCCAAAAGCA